CAGGACATTTGGGGGAGTGGGGAGAGGGAGGTGACACGCGAATAAAATCTTACAGGTTCAATGAATGGAGGAAGGAGAGTCCTTTGGTTTGACTTATGGTAGGGCGTCGCCAAAATTTTTATCAACGCAACCTGAAAACCTTCGATTTAGAAGGCTCCCAAGGCTAACCGCAATTAGGCTCAGATAAGTTATGCCGGTATAATCTCGGACATAATGCTATAGTCAGAGCATATGATAATGACGAAAATTCTCGAAAACAAACACGTTAAACTGCGTTGCTAGTACTTTTATAATGAATTTTTCAGGGTCGTTTTCAGCATACACGTCTCAAATGCTGTTTCTAATACTTTTCTGTTCCTTTTTCAGTCTAGGTTACTTCGTCGAAGGCCTGGTTACTACCTCAGCACAGCGGTCAAGTTATTACACATGCGAACTTAGATGGATAATTTGCCATTGTAAACATGGAGAATATAGGTGAGACGTAGACCGACGGAAATGTGTGTAAAAAGGAAGAACCAGAGTGATAACAGGTCTAAGCAGGTCTATGCGGCGACGATAACAGGTTTATGCGGACAGCAGACTGTGCTGGCAGGGCAGAAGAAAGGTTCTCTCACGAAACGAAACGTCCGCGTTAAAAAAAGTTGGAATGTCATAATGAAATAAGACCAAGATATAACCTTTCTCCAAAATCCATCACTCATTTTTCTCACGCATATGTTAGAAATTTGAGCTTTTCTTCATCATTTCACGCTCAACACATATTCGGAAATTCCTCTTATTGTTTTCATACTCTCGTGCATGCGCTGTGTTTGACCACTGTGTTTAGTACCTACTCAATAAGCCAGATTGATGATATCTTTACATTGTATAATCAATTATAAAAATTATTTGTATATGAAATAACTGTAAAATATTTGATTCAAATAGTTAAGCCTCAAAATTCATATCAGATTGCTTTAAAACCTCTCTAGTTTTCCGAGAAAGTTAAAATTTTCCTCTCAATATTTTCAAAAAGGCGAATTTTAGCATATTCTGACCACTATAAATCGCCATCGGCAGATGGCCGTAAATAACCTTGATTTAGACGTTAAGTTTTGGACTTGGGACCTGATTGACAACTCTATTCTACACAGCCATTAAATTTAGACCTTTATAGACAAAAAATTGCAAAAACCCTTGTACGTTTTCGACTTTTCCAAAGTTATGAGCGTTTGAATGCGCACAATGTTACAAAATATGCCTATTTTTCAATTTTCGAGACGTTACGACGGTCCCTACAGACTAGGGAAAAATTATGACCCCTTATGCAGTCAGAAAATTATTTCTTTCTTTTGACAGTTTCAGACAAATTTACTTTTGATGTGAAATTGACTGGGTATATATAAGAGAGCCTCATAAGTATCACTGTCGTAATTTTCTATCAGGAATTTAAGAAAAACTGAGAGAAGAGAACAAGGTTATTATTGTTAAGAACTCACCATCCCAACTTTGCTCAGTATATCCTCCAAAGATGTAATTTCCACTCTTTACCACTGTAACTGTTGGTCCCTTGTTATCACAACAGGAGTGAAAGTTGGAAGCAGCCCAACCGTTTCTAGAAGCTCGGTACAACAACTGCTCATTGGTTTTAGGAAAGCCCGAGGTGTTCTTTAACCAACTCATCAAAGTCTGGCCCTGACTGGACGAGAGAATCAATGAATCTTTGAACGGTTGAACTACATTCGGGACTAGATCTGCCGTTGGCTTTGGTTCCAGCTCGTTTATCATTCCTTCAACTTGATAAAATTTAGCTTCTGCCAGTAGCTCTCTGCGAATGATCTCATCATTGGGGACGATAAGTTCCCCCGTGCGAAGATAATTTAGGATGTATCGGAAGTGTGTTCCATCTCGATCAATGAAGTAAGATCCATCCTCGCCGGGTTTTGTCTCAAATCTTCCTGAAAACATGGCGTTTAACATGGAACCTGTGTCAAGGAACAATAACATATCATATCTGATCTTCGAGAAGATATGCTACATGACACTCCCACTGTTGTACGAGAGAGAGGGGGGGGGGGAAATGGTTGGAACTTCCCCCTTCTGTCTTTAATGTGTTTGAACATTGTGTTACCGTACAATCATTAAATAGTTTGTATAAAATTATGTGTCATGCATATTTTGAAAAAGTACGTTGCTAACAACTCCATTTACGTCTCCAAATCGCTTCTTGTGCCTTACAAACCCGTTTTTTCCTCGAGGCAGTAGATTGACTCATTGAATTTAGTCCAATTAAATCGACCACATTTGCTCCATGAAAGATCTTATTTTTGAAAAATTTCCTCATGAATCAAACGCAATGGTCACGAGAATAAATTAAATGATCGCCAACTAAAGAAGCTCTCGATTTTTTAACAAAGTTTTGTTGTCAATGCCAAAAGAAAGGCATAGAGAACTTAGAAGAAAATATGCATTCTGATTTTAGAGTAATTATAAATAGAGCTGAATTTACGTATTCGCTTAGTACCATTCTCAGAGAAAGTCCTTCTTTACTATCAACCAAATTGAAACTATCTCTTGGAATTTATAAAAAAGGCAATTCAAACTGGATATTTGAAAAGCTTGGCAGCACATTTCCCGTTAATAGTCGTTAATT